AGAGAGAGAGAGAGAGAGAGAGAGAGAGAGAGAGAGAGAGAGAGAGAGAGAGAGAGAGAGAGAGAGAGAATGAGAAGAGTCAGGAAGAAAGAGAAAGAGAGGAAGGAAGGGAGAGAAAAGAAAGAAGAGAATCTAAAGAAAAAGGAAAAAAAATGTAAATTCCGATAGTTCACGTCGAGTTGAAAAATTAATTAAAGCGCAGCGTTAAGCGCTAATTGACGGTAAATTCAAATCTGCTCTTATCTCTAATTTTTTTTTCTTTCTATTTCTCTCTCGTGCATGGACGAGATTCACGTTCATTAGATTCTCTTCAACTTGTTCAAATACGATTAGTGGTTGATCACTGCTGCCTCAGGACTGCACGATGGCTTTCAGTCGATTTGGGAATCGCGCGACGATCTAATATGGCGGGTTAGGTTAGGTTAGTGAAAGATACAGGCATCGAAAAAGTGCTCAAGTGCTACACGAGCATGTCCACATAGCGAGGTAGGCAAACGCGCGCAAGGCACAAAGTGGAAATAGTAATAGTAGTAGCAGTAGTAGTGGCAAATAGTAACAGTGATAGTAATAGTAGAATAGAAAATAGTTATAGTAACAGCAGTAAAGCAGTGCAACACGCGAGATGGACACCTAGATCCCCTCGCTTAAATTCCTTTTTGTTTTTCCTTTCTGTACATCTTCCATTTTCGTATTTCCCTTTTTTTTTCCTTTTTCCTTTTTTCTCCTTTTCGTATCCAATTGCGTTTCCCGTGATTTTTCACGTCCGACTCAACTATATATATATATATATATATATATATATATATATATATACATATATATATATGTACTCAAGAGCAACGTCAGCAATGTCGACCCAGAGTTCACCTAGTGCTACGTCTCTACCAGGCAAACGGGACACGAAGTCAGCCCCATATATAAATATGAATGACCAATAAAGAACAAAATGCATAAAAATACCGACTTTCCGTAATTTTAAAACGAATCTCCAATGCACGATGCATTTCCAATCCACTGATTTAACCGCTCTGCTGGTAATCGCTACTAGTTACGTGACGCGCCACAGAGATGGCAGCACAGTCGTCCATCGTATTCGATCGAACCTCACTCGGAATAACCTAATCTATGTCTGAACGTTCTGCAGCTCCGTATGTAGATAAATTAATGTCGTCCCATCGCTCTTCTCAAATAGTTTTCATAAATTTTCGATAATAATCACGGCGCGACTTCGTGTCCGTCGGAAAAGATATGTACGGCAAAGCAAAACATCGACACCCGCGACATCCGTCAGTGGCGCGCGTGTCGCTATCGCGTACTCATACAGCACCTCTCAAAAGTATCATACCGAGCAGTAAAATAAACGGCACACGGATAGCAATGGCAGAGTGCATTTTTTTTATAGTACAAGAGAGAAAGTGGATCGGTGGCGGTTAGTGGTTTTAATGACGGTAGTGTAGATGGCGGTAGTGTAGAGCATACATTTGCTCGTCTTTCGTGTTTTCTTTTTCTCTCTGTATAGTGCGCCAAAATAAATCTGCGATAAAACGTATTTATGTACGGCGTATAAGTGTTCTGTGTGCGCATATATATATATATATTTTTTTGTAAAATGTCCATATGGAAATTGTGTAAACGTCCGCGACTCTTACCAACGACCAGGGTCAAATGCTTCGCCTCGCATTGAACATTTATAGGTTATGTTCGAAAAGGGCCGACCTTACTCGAACTAACTAATGCCGAGTGTGACAGATGTTGACCGATCGATTGGTAAGGGACGCGAGTCGCGCGTTGTCTTTCGTTTTTTTTCTCTTTTTTTTTTCTACTGGCAAGCAGCTACGTACAGAAAACGTTCACGAGGCAAGATAATCGACAAGTAACCGAAAGTGTCACGGGTAGAATGCTTAAGGACCTGCTTCTGGATAGTCGACTGCATCTGCTGGAACATGATCCTTTCCTCCTCCTTACCTGGAACAGGATGGAAAAGCTCTCGAAAACTCTCCCGCAAGGTTGGGGCTCGAACTTGTTTTTGTTGTAATTGTTAATTAAAAATATATTTATTTCGATGGATTGTCCGACAAAAATAATACGAATCTATAACGCCATGAGCTTGTAAGATTAGGCGTTAAAAAAGATGCGAAAGATGCTAAGATATTTAGTGAAAAAAAATCGCGTTGACTGGCAACCATTTTTTTGTATTCATTCTAATCTCCTTTTTTTTCCCCAGTAATCCAGTTTTCACGAGACGCATTGCTGCATATTTACGGACACGTGTAACAGGGTTCAAATTACATTCCGTAAAATTTAAGGGTGCGAAATTGTCCACGACTGTGATACCAGCAAGTCACGCTCCTGGATTTATAAAAATATGCCGTATCCTCTTTGTTTACGCGACCCTTACGCGACAGTATCTACCTATATTACGTTAGGCGTTTATGAAGACTCAGTAAAAAAAGAATTTAACGATCACTTGCCTTGTAAACGTGCCACAATAATTCGATATCAATTTCATAGCGAGGAATCGATAACCGACCGTCAAAATATCCGCCAGCTGTCAATGTGGAAATATTGGAATTTAAAAAGAACGTACACCGATCGCGCCCATAGACAATCATGGACAAGTTCGTTTGAAAAGATGAAAAACCGTTACGAACCCCTGGCGGCAACGTTGCTAACTATTTTTGGCTTATACCTGAATCTTATAATAGGCCAGCATAGACATTGACGACTGAAAGATGTATACTTAAAAATTGACCAATCATAATAGACATTCCTGACCTTTTCACGTTGTTCAAGAGTTTTCCGACGCTCTGACGGAAATATCACTAACTACTGGATCCTGGCCAGTGCTTGGATCTTATAATAGATACCAGAAGGCAGTCACGTGAAAGTTTACTATATCATACCGAGAGGGCATTCTTATCTCAACAAGATATCATATAAAAGAACTAGTATCAATGACGGCCATAACCTCAATTATCAATTACTTTTGTTATCTCCCATTAGATTCACGATGCTCACAACTGTTATATATCCCGGAGTGCGTCGAACTCCAGTCAGATGGACTTGGCCGGACGTGGCCCTTACGGAAAATGGCGGAATGCCCGCGACAATGTATTCTTACGTAAAATGCAACCGGTTTGGATATGCGCCAATCCCGATCCGCAGGTTGTTGGCTCGGATGATACAAAAATCAGTGGCACTCAAGGCTACGTGAATTACCGTGATTACCGGGAAACAGAGGTAGGAGAGGGGGGGTGGGGGTGGCAAGAAGAGCCAATGCCTCTTTTTCTTATTTTCTTAAACGAACAAACTCATAGCGAGACGGAAAAACCCATACAGAGTAATACGACCAAGATAAGCGCGGGAAATTCAAATTTTTATATATGAAAAATAAGAAAGAACTCACCCATTCCTTTGTTCTGGAGCATTTCGAGGAGCTTCTTGATGCTCTCGTCTCGAGCTTGGAGCGTCTGTTTTTGCGTCTCTATTCTCAGTTCAAGCTCCTGTAAAGATAAATAAATAAATAAGCTCGACGCATCTACATTATACACAGTCTATGTAGATTCTTAGTTTCGATAGCGTCAGATCCACAAAAACGCTTATTCGATAAGTTCGCGGAGCAACGGCGTAGAACGAATATATTATTTAACACGTCATTGGCCACCTAGCGGATTTCAAGGGAAACCGAAGCGCACCTATATAAGTTATGCACTGAGGTAACACTGGATATAGATATCGATATAAACTGTCTGCATAATCTGGCTGGTGGCCAAAGAGCTACCAGTTGCATCGTCTAGGTTGCGGTCGTCGAGGACGTCGGGCGTCGTTCGTTCGTAGCGATAAAGCGCGTTGCCAATTAATCAGTCAGGTCGCGAACTCTACCGGATTTCAGCCGAGCCAAGATTTCGCTGGTAACATTGGCCGAGAATAAAACCAGTACGTTTAACCTCTGGCAGCACAAAGAGACTTTGACCGGTTAAACCGAAATTACAGCCGTACAGGCAAACATCAGGCATACAGGCAGCATCAAAACATAACCTAAAATCAAGGTGCCTGCGCCATGTGTGTATAATATTACACAATGAGAGATAAATAAGAAAAATTGCGCATGAAGCAAAATTTTTATACTTTTAAACAGTGATTCAAATTCTTAGTGTATTATCATGTAAGCCTGCAATTTTTTTTCCTTTTCTAGCATTTTTTTACCCTTCCCACATTCAGAGGGACGTCTTTAAATGGCTTCCTCTAAAATTCTTACGTGTCCATACTCTTCTAGGGAATTTTTATACACGGTGAGCATAAATAAAAAGACGGAGCAATCCTTCAAACCCAATATACATTTTCTAGGGGATTTATATAGAGGGCAACTCTTTTATTAACGCTTGTTATCATTATGCGTTTATAGTCAAACGACTATATATATATATATATGCATTGTGCATGGATGCTTATATTTTTATGTTACTTGCTCTATGATAACATCAATGATAACGTCTAAAGCTCTTTATAATCATTCTATCGCGTGCATAGACTTTGCAATTTCATTCTTAAGTAACGCGTGGAAATTTTTTTTTTTTTTTTTTATTAGATTTATTGATTTTCTTCACTGACTTTTTTTTTAACGCATGATTAATCCAGTACTTTGTGGTTGATTATCTTATTTTGACTACCGGATAAATATCAGATAGTAATAAGTTATTTGAGATTACATAGTTCCCGAGTGTCATTCGCTTTCTTTTTACTCCCTTATAAATCCAGAGAGCGAACCATTATCGTCCCCTGACAAAACCCTCATATTGGATATCAAGAGGAGCCTTATTGGACTGAGAACCTTCATTTTCATCGTCCATTTATTTGACTGCGAGAAACAGGGATAAAGTTTCTCAAACAATTTTTACTGGACACCCGTTATACTTCGTACCTTACAATTAATATAGTGTTGTATTGTATCTTCCCTTAGAGGCATTCCCTGGTAAATTCCATTAGAAAAAAAAAAGTCCAGGTTTCTCAACCATTCTCGAACCCCCGACCGACACAGCAACAGCTGCGTCCGATTTCAATTCCCTGAAGTTTGCCGAACGACCGAAACTTTCTGACCCGACGTCAAAGTAAAAAAATTCGATAACCACTAGGGAAACTATTGGTTAATAGAAATTTGCAAGTCTTGCCAGTATTATTTGTCTATCACGATGAATTACCATTAAGCCTCATTGTTGCTCCATGCGCGCCTAACTTCACGGTAGTAACAATAATTTGAGGTTATCCTATGAATTCGTCCTATTGAGAAAGGAAAAGTTGCCGCAATTAAAAATGAAAAAAAAAAATTATTCTGCACGTGAAAATTTGTGCCGTGAAAAAAAAAATTTAATGACAAAAACCTCTATTATATACAAAATTGCGGTTATAAAAATAATTTCTAAAATTTTCTTCCTCTTCGTATTGTACGCAGGCGCAGCTAGAGGACTATCGATAGAATAATTGTTTAATAAAAATTTTGGAAAACCGATACGTTCTCTCACCTTTATGGTGTCACGCAAAATGGCGATTTCCCGCGTGAGATGTTCGTTCTCGTTATAAAGAACTTCTATTTGCTGTTGCATCTCGACGCTGGGTCCGCGCATCCTCAGCCTGAGCTCCTCTTCCAGTTGTCGAACCATCATATTTTGTTTCTGCAAACGAAAAGAAGAAAAAAAAAGCACATTAATCAACAGACAACAATAAAAAGTAAATTAAAATAAATTTGACAATTTCCAAAATTTCTCTCAAACAGTCTTGTATACATTTTCATTTCTTTTTATCGCTATAACCTAACCTAACCCAAAACTAACCAAAGTATCGTAACCTTCGACAAAGCCTTAATGAACGTCAATCCCAAACTTCAGTTCCAAAAGTAAATCAAATTTACGAAACACGTGGTCTGGCATAGCCAACGGCACCGTTACTATATACCGGGCGAGTACGCCGACGAAAAGACTACTCGGAAATGTCCAATAGCTCTGATTGACCCAGTTCTGTCGGGTAGCAGGGAGGCCTTGTGCTGTGTGACGTCACGGGCTTGAGGTGTGGTCCCCGTGACGTCATTTGCTCATAATGAAAGCACCCTATCACCACCACCCTTCATGGAATTCTCATCGAGCCTTCATCCCCCCCCCCCCCT